TTATTCCGAATTAGGCGATCTAGTCTATACTTGTTTTACTGTGCGCATCACATAGTAATTCTAGCTAATTAACCGGAATAAGAACACATAACGTTTTCAAAATTGGATATCATGATTAGTAGAGGCTGATCTTCGTATCGGGCGAGAGGGGGTGCTCATAACTGACCTTCCCCAATCGTACCCAAGTTCCCGAGCCGAGGCAACTCTGGTGATGACGGACACGTGGCCTTAGGCAAACGAGTCAGGGTTTCCTAAATTCCCCCATTAATAAAATATTAAGGTGGCGACTCTGTATCTGGCAAAGCAGTCCATGTTTGGCACTTCTTTCTAAAAATCTGTTTTCCAAAACGATTTGTCAGATTTAGACTCTTTGATTCAGATTAAGAACCGTGACAATTTGAGAGTCCGAACTGTAGTGAGCCCAAAACGAACAGAACGGGACTCATCCTCCCGGGGCGTTCGGGGACGTTTACAGAGCCAAATGTTTGATTTTCTTTTGGCTACTAAAGTTTTTTCTTTTTTTTTTTTTTTGCTACTAAACTTTTAGTCGCTAAATGTCTTCTTTTTTTTTGCTACAAAACTTTTAGTCACCAAATGTCTTTTTTTTTGCTACAAAACTTTTAGTCGCCAAATGTCTTTTCCCAATTTCTTTTTAGCTACTAATTGTTTAGTCGCCAAAAACATGATATTATGTTTTATAATGAAATTATTATTTCTCCACAACCTGTCTATATACAATGCAACCTGTAATACGTATAAAAACAAAATGATATATACTATCAATCATTCCACAATCTGCATCCATATACCAAAAATAAATAACATTAAATATCAAAATCCATACAAATCAACTATTGTCCAAACTAAAATAATAATTCCATACAAAATATGTCATACAAAAATCAAAGCCCTCCGTATACAAAAAAAATACATTTACTACCAAGCAAAATTACCATTTGGCATGATACAAATTACCATCGTAATCTGTACCACAACAAAAGGTGATATATGTACCACGACAAAAGTTTTCTATGGACCATGACCAAATGTCCTATACGAAGACCGACAAATGATATATATGTACCACAACAGTCATTATCTGTTAATTGCCAAAAGTTTTCTGTATCAGTGATAATGAACTACACAAGCTGAGGATGACAAAAGTATTATATTAGTTCTACACAAAAGTGAAAATTATTCTCCATACACCAATATGGATTATCCACAAGTCCACGCAACAAAACCATCTACAAAGAAGAACAAAAAACGAAACATTAGAATTGGTTACAAAATATCAATTCAGTCAACCATATGGAACATGTTCTAACATGCATTTAAGGTAGAACAATCGAGATATGTCTTCTTGGAAATAAAAGAAAGTATATATATATGTATCATGCAATATTTATTCCAACCAACTGCACAAACAATGTAATGTGTAATTTCTTCATCCTAAAAATATATAAAAGCAATTATTAGAATATGTAGATGTTATTTTAATAAATTTGTTGCTTTTTTAACCAAGTGTTGCAAGTTTTTCGACTAAGTGTAAGGCTTATTCGGGGGCTGTTATGAATTTTCATCCCCGGAAAGCCCTTTTTCGAGTAAGTTTAAGGCGTATTCGGCTTTAACTCCCAATCTACGCGTCCGAACTGCGTTCCGTCAGATCTCACAAGTCCTATTTGTCATGGCGAAGCTATCCGTGTGAACCACACGGTCGTTTGGGGGCTATTTTGAATTTTCGACCCCGAAACGCCCTTTTTCGACTAAGTTTTTGACATATTCAGCTCTAACTCTCTACCTATGGGTCCGAATTACGTTCCGTCAGTTCTCACAAGTCCTATTTGTCATGGCAAAGCTATCCGTGTGAGCCACATGGTCGTTCGGGGGCTGTTTTGATTTTTCACCCCCAAAACGCCCTTTTTCGACTAAGTTTAGGGGGTATTCGGCTCTAACTCCAAACCTACGGGTTTGAATTATGTTCCGTCAATTTTCACAAGCCCTATTTGTCATGGCGAAGCTATCTGTGTGAGACACATGGTGGTTCAGGGGCTGTTTTGATTTTTCGCCCCCAAAACGCCCTTTTTCGACTAAGTGTAGGGGTATTCGGCTCTAACTCCAAACCTACGGGTCCGAATTACGTTCCGTCAATTCTCACAAGTCCTATTTGTCATGGCAAAGCTATCCGTGTGAGACACACGGTCATTCGGGGACTGTTTTGATTTTTCGCCCCCCAAATGTCCTTTTTTGACTAAGTTTAGGGCGTGTTCGGCTCTAACTCCCAACCTACAGGTCCGAATTACGTTCCGTTAATTCTCAAAAGTCCTATTTGTCATGGCGAAGCTATCCGTGCGAGGCACACGGTCGTTCGGGGGTTGTTTTGATTTTTTGCCCCCGAAACGCCCTTTTTCGACTAAGTTTAGGGGGTATTCGGCTCTAACTCCTAACCTACGGGTCCGAATTATGTTCCATCAATTCTCACAAGTCCTATTTGTCATGGCGAAGCTATCCATGTGAGCTACACGGTCATTCGGGGACTGTTTTGAATTTTCACCCCCGAAACGCTCTTTTTCAACTAAGTTTAGGGCGTATTCGCCTCTAACTCCCAACCTACGAGTCTGAATTACGTTCCATCAATTCTCACAAGTCCTATTTGTCATGGCGAAGCCATGTGAGACACATGGTTGTTCGGGGCTGTTTTGATTTTTCGCCTCCGAAGCGCCCTTTTTCGACTAAGTTTAGGGGATATTCGGCTCTAACTCCCAACCTACGGGTCCGAATTATGTTCCGTCAATTCTCACAAGTCCTATTTGTCATGGCAAAGGTATCCGTGTGAGACACACTGTCGTTCGGGGGCTGTTTTGATTTTTCGCCCCCGAAATGCCATTTTTCGACTAAGTGTAGGGCGTATTCAACTCTAACTCCCAACCTACGACTCTGAATTACGTTTCGTCAATTCTCACAAGTCCTATTGGTCATGGCAAAGGTATCTGTGTGAGACACACGATCGTTCGGGGGCTATTTTGAATTTTCGCCCCCGAAACGCTCTTTTTCGACTAAGTTTAGGGCGTATTCGGCTCTAACTCCCAACCTACGAGTCCGAATTACGTTCCGTCAATTCTCACAAGTCCTATTTGTCATGGCGAAGCTATCCATATGAGACACACAGTCGTTCGGGGCTGTTTTGATTTTTCGTCCCCGAAGCGCCCTTTTTTGACTAAGTTTAGGGGATATTCGGCTCTAACTCCCAACCTACGGGTCCAAATTACGTTCCGTCAATTCTCACAAGTCCTATTGGTCATGGCAAAGGTATCCGTGTGAGACACACGGTCGTTCGGGGGCTGTTTTGATTTTTCACCCCCAAAACGCCATTTTTTACTAAGTTTTGGCGTATTCGGCTCTAACTCTCAACCTACGGCTCTGAATTACGTTCCGTCAATTCTCACAAGTCCTATTTGTCATGGAGAAGCTATCCGTGTGAGCTACACGGTCGTTCGGGGACTATTTTGAATTTTCACCCCTGAAACGCTCTTTTTCGACTAAGTTTAGGGCGTATTCGGCTCCAACTCCCAACCTACGGGTCCGAATTACATTTCATCAATTCTCATAAGTCCTATTTGTCATGGCGAAGCTATCCATGTGAGACACACAGTCGTTCGGGGCTGTTTTGATTTTTCGCCCCAAAGCGCCCTTTTTCAACTAAGTTTAAGGGATATTCAACTCTAACTCCCAACCTACGGGTCCGAATTACGTTCCGTCAATTCTCACAAGTCCTATTTGTCATGGCAAAGGTATCCGTGTGTGACATGATCATTCAAGGGCTGTTTTGATTTTTCACCCCCGAAACGCCCTTTTTCGACTAAGTTTAGGGCGTATTCGGCTCTAACTCCCAACCTACGGGTCCGAATTATGTTCTGTCAATTCTCACAAGTCCTATTTCTCATGGCGAAGCTATCCGTGTGAGACACACGGTCGTTCGGGGGCTGTTTTGATTTTTTGCCCTCGAAACGCCCTTTTTTGACTAAGTTTAGGGGGTATTCGGCTCTAACTCTCAACCTACGGGTCCGAATTATGTTCCGTCAATTCCCACAAGTCCTATTTGTCATGGCAAAGCTATCTGTGTGAGCTACACGATCGTTCGGGGACTATTTTCAATTTTCGCTCCCGAAAGGCTCTTTTTCGACTAAGTTTAGGGCGTATTTGGCTCTAACTCCCTACTTACGGGTCCGAATTACATTTCGTCAGTTCTCACCAATCCTATTTGTTATGGGACAACTGTCTGTGTGAGTCACATGGTGGTTCGGGGGCTCTTTTGAATTTTCACCCCGAAACACCCTTTTTTGACCAAGTTTAGTGCATATTCGGCTCTAACACCCTATTTACAGGTCCTAATTACATTCTGTCAGTTCTCACAAGTTCTATTTGTCATGGGGAAACTGTACGTGTGAGTCACATGGTGGTTCGGGGGCTGTTATGAATTTTCACCCCCAAAATGCTCTTTTTCGACTAAGTTTAATGCATTTTCGGCTCTAACTCCCAAACTACGTGCGCTAATTACATTCCATCTGTTGTCACAGGTCCTATTTGGGATGGGGAAGGTGGCCGTGACATCCGTATGGTCGTTCGGGGGCTGATTCGCATTTTCGCCCACTTAACGCCCTTTTTCAGTTAAGTTTAATGCATTGTTGTCGTATTGGAATCCAAGCGGAAATCATTTTCTTAACTCAAAATTTTTAACTACCAAAAGGGTTTTCAATGTCAAAATTTTCACTGTGGGGAGTATGTAAACCAATCAAATATAGAAATCATTTGAGTCAAAATCAAAGCCATAAATGCACACCCACAACCATACAAACAACAGCCATATCCTTTCCTCATTAAGAACCTGGATAACATATCTATCCCACAATCCACACCGTCAAGCCTTACCACTAATAGCAGTTCCCACCATCATTTTGTGAGAGCCCAATTCCAATCCACTATCATAGAAAGAAATAAGAAGGCAACATAATTAATATCATATCTTTATACAAAGAAATACAATGACAATGAATACCCACCAGTCACCCCACATTTGATATTTCTCCCACTTGAAATGGAGCTATTGGGAACCATTGTAACTTTTATTTATTGGGAACCATTTAAATACATGTTCATCACTAATTGAGATGAATATTACCCACCAAAAATAAATAAATAAATTGATATGAAATGGAGCTACACATACAGAATTATAGAAGTTCTTGTTAATGATGAGTTGAAAAGGACATGTACACCAGACTACCTAATGCAATAGAAAAGGATAAGAGTCAAGCTAACTATACAACTCGCGACAACACAAAGGGATCTATGTTCTTCAGGTGGTTACAGAGAATTATTATGACAGCACATTGAGCATCTTGTGCATACACCAGACTAGCAAGAAAAATCAGGGGTTTCTAACAATTACCCAATTAAAGGCTAAGCAATATATTCAAATTGTGAGTTTACGTATTATAAACCCAACATAGTATGCTACTTGCTTTCTACGGCAACTCTTAATGTTCTATTATTGTGACAGCAATAAGTGTCAACAAGATACACATAATATTAGCATGTTTTTATCCCTTACTTTCCATTTTCAATGATGTCAATTTGTCAAATTTTGTATTCAGTCAGCTTTTTGGTTATATCAGCAAAATACAGATGTAATTAGTCTAGCATGGGTGCAAACTAAACAACAGGTAAAGTGAAGTTTACTTAACGTGGAATGCTGGTGAATTGTTAAACAAAAGTATACTTTCACTTAACATCAATAGAATGGTAAGACGAATTGTTAAACAAAAGTATACTTTCACTTAAACATCAATAGAATGGTAAGGCAACTACATAATAATACATTATGTTTATGATGCGCACCAATAAACAAGATTACAAAGAAAATTTGGTACTTTTACACATGTATCAAAAAAATTAACACTACATCATTTTTTATTTATTTTTTTGGAGGAAGGGAGTGGAGGCATTTGCACACAAGGAAGTGGAACACACCGAAAACAAATAGAGGGGTCAGCAGAACCAACCTCAAGCTCGTAACATTTCATATGCCAACAAACAAAAGAAGAAGAAAAAAAAGAAGGCTCAAATGCAGTATAAAGGTATTAATATAGATTCCAACAAGTAACATTAAGCTCATAATTGAATTTATACCTTTGATTGCAACTTCACGAAAGTTGGTCTTGGTATTGGAGTACAGCCTCTTCCACTCATCCAGTATCATCTTACTTGGAGGCAGTAGATCAAGAGTACAGCCTCTATCACCTTTTTGAAATTTGGTTGGTTAACCATGGTCCAATAGTATCTCTCAACATGAGGGAACTCAGTAGTAAAGCTCTTAGTCATGACATTAGTGAATACCGGAAACAAGTTACATGTCATGATAATGCTAGCCAGGGTCACAGCATGACCAACCAGGTAAGTATTTGAAGCCAGATGAACGCTCAAAGCACCAAGAGCTCTCTTCAATGCAGCAATAGCAGCTTCCTCAGCCTTCAAACAAAATACATATGGAGTAAAGATAAAATAATTAGAAAAAATTAAAATTAACAAAAAGAAAAAGAAACAAAAAAGTTAATAGTAAAAATAAAATGTTATTCTTGTCTATACGCGCTAATTGCATTCCGTCTGTTATTACAGGTCCTATATGTCACAAGGAAGGTGGTCGTAACACCCGTACGGTGGTTCAGGGGCTGAATAACAGAAATTGGGTTTGTTTTGATATGTAGGTGTTGTGTTGCCTTAGACAATTCAAATATCTTAAAAGGCTTATATGCATGCCAGATTTAAAGTAAAGACAACAAGTAGCCAAGAAATATCGGCCAAGAATTTTTCAGTAAACAATTTATATTTTTGCAGTGAAGAGCAATCCTCAGAGAATTCCCAATGGCAATGCTCATTTTCACAAGGCTTCCATTCAGGTTTTGAAGGATGGAAATTTGATCAAGTTGCACCAAGACGGTCTCTTTACTGAGTGTTTTCTTTGCCATATCAAGAGGGCCTTGGGTAACATAAAAGCTAACATAAAATTGGCAAGTACATTTAGGTTCATGAGGCTTCCTCTCAATAGAATTTATTTTAGCATCCACCCAGATCTACATCAGAAAAACGTAGCAGATAATAATCTTGCAATATGACATATGCCCTTATCAAAGCAAGCCAATTTATACAAGAGCAAACATGTATGTCTAAACTAAACAAACCAAGTTTTTCATGAACAAATAACTTGACTAAGAACAGGTTGAGCATGGAAGGAGAATCAAAGAGATGACCAGCAAAAGTAGGCGAAAAAACAAAATCGCTTGTCTCGTGTATTGCAATAATAGGGGAATCTTTAAAAATTTAGACATATTTGGACAATTGCAACATTTGTGTCACTACCTCCCTATGTTAGCATGAGTTATTTTATGGGGCAAATAATTACAAAAATGGGTACAAGTAGTGTATTAGGTAACACCACAGCACCAGAATCTGTATATTGTCCAAAGAAACAAGGCATAGAATGGTCCATATGGTACAATTACAGCAAAACAAAATCTATAACAGAGTATCAAATTAGTAAACTAAAACATAGAAACTTCAAATTCATCAAACATATGATGTACAGGGACAGAAATTGTGAGCACTCATGCATAATCAAGGCAATAGTATAAATTGTAAACTATTGCATGCCCAACCAGAAGGAATGCCACTCACTAGAAGTGCAGATTCATGCAACCAAACAGACGCCTATTATGCAAACTATTAATGTAGGAACCCACAGACACAAGAAAGATTTTATCAAATCCGAAGACGTTATAAGAGCACTCATGCATAATCAAGGCAATAGTATAAATTGTAAACTATTGCATGCCCAACCAGAAGGAATGCCACTCACTAGAAGTGCAGATTCATGCAACCAAACAGACGCTTGGGGGCGTGACAATTAACCTAGGCATTTCCAGACACAAGAAAGATTTTATCAAATCCGAAGACGTTATAAGAGTAAAATAAGTGGGATTATATATTTGCTGCAACATATTACTTAAACTACCACAACATAATGTACAGACATCAAGTATCAACTCACCAACAGTAACAGTGTGATGTGAACTATGGTGTGGTCAAACTTTACAATGTTAAAAAGCACAGAATTTAGCAGCTTCAGACAAAAATAAATGGGAACTTACTGGATCCTGATTTTCATCATCACTTGAATCTTCAGTACCTTGAGGGGTCGATAGCACACAAAAAACAAGTCCAGGCCTTAGAAAGCAGGTGCAATCTGACAAAGTGGCTTTTCTTGACCTTATTTGCAGGTTGGAAATGGGAACATTTTCTTCAATTAAATCTCCATAATCAAACAAAAGCATGGTTATGACCCCATTCCAAATTTGTAAGCGCTCCACAGTTTTCCATGAGCCAAAGTAATATGCCTCAAAAGCTGTCAGATGGCATTTCTTGGCACCAAATGATATCGAGTAATTTCTCAAAAAATTGAGCCGTAACCTACATTCCATGCTCTAACATCACTTTATCATTCAATTTCAAAATACCCCGTCGCTGAATCTTACAAATAAAACACAAAGCACGTTTAAATTAACCTAAGACATGAGTGAAAAGCTATAAAAAAAGTTAAAAAATCAAATTGGTCAATCCAGTGGTCTGACCAAGTCCCAACAGGAACTTACCAAGTAATTCGGTTTGGCTCAATTTATAAACCATATTTTATTGAGAATCACTTTGTCTGATAAACCAGCCAGTTTTGATGATCTTTTTAAGAACTAGTTACAGTTACAGATAGCACCTAGGAATGTGAGGAAGGACCCTTTCCACAGTGATTTAACACCCTCCCCCAATCCCCAAAGGATTAATAAGGAAACCAACCTCAATTTCACAAAAACAAACTTCCGATTTTAAACACAAAAGGCATATAAATGAACTGAAATAAAAAGTTAATTGTGCATCCCCAACACATGAAAAATAAATAAAAAATAAAAAAAAAATTGCATAAACTTTAAATTTGAGATATTATTAAGCATCACATGACTGAAATATATACAAAAACAGACATTTCAAAAAAAGGGCAATGGACAGTAATAATTGATCTTGCAAAGTTATAACTAAATAACCAAATTTGAAAGAGAGAGAACCAGAACATCAAAACCCTACGAAAATTTCACAAATTTGAACATTCAAAATCAATATTTAGCTTCCAAGACAATTTTTTTTTTTAAAAAAAAAAAACAAAACAAAACAAACTCGCAACTTTGAGAATAAAAAGCATAGCAGAATCGATAATTGCAAACTTACACAGGGCGTATCGAAGGAAGAGGCGACTGAGATTGCAAAGGCATCAATAGTAGCTATTGATGCTGCGCCAGTGGCTATGGTGGCGGCAGCTGCATCTGCTTAACCGTCCGCCGCAGCAGGGGCTCAGCCGCCGGCTGCGAAGGGTGCTCAGGCAACACCACGGCCGCCGATGCAGCTCCAAACACCGTGAAATCCAGCTGCCTCGCGAGCATCTTCACCAGCGTCTCTGATTGAGCCTTTTTTGGAGGGAAATCCCCTCGCTCACCTTTCTCCAACAACTTCAAATTCAAAATAAATCTCCAAAAAAACAATTCTCAATTAAATGGGATTTTTGGTGAGACCTCCTTTTTTGGATATTTTTTTAAGATAAAGGACAACTCAATGAATTCTCCTTCAAAAAGTACCTGAGTAAGAAAAGCCCAACTCAATAAGGACATTCTATAATTTGTTTTTTCTTTTTGACCATATTGCCCTCATATATATATATATATATATCATATATTTAAACAATCTCAACTCATACATAAAACGATCTTGAAGATGATCTACAAAGTGAAGATGATCTGCGAAATCCATGAAGACGATCTCAAAGTTTAAAGATCTCACTGCCGACGATCTCACCCTTGGTCAACAATACACGATCTCGCCATCCAAGATCAACACTCTCAATTAAATGAGAGATTACGTTGCAAAGATGTATATATCTGTTGTTATTTTTTATTTATTTTTGTTGATTTGCTGAGTTCAATCAGGTGTGTGCTCTATTTTTGTTTGACATGATGAAAGTAAAATTTTATTCTGATTTGTGCTCTGTTTTTGTTTGACAGAATGAGAGTAAACTTTTACTTTGGTTTGTGCTCTGTTTTTGTTTCATAAAATGAGAGTAAAATTTTATTTTGGTATTATCTGTTATATTTTCTTAACATGCAAGTAAAAAATTTACTTTATTTCAGAGTAAAATTTTACTGCATTTCAGAGTAAAATTTACTTTGAATTGAAAGTAAAATTTTACTGTGTTGTTGAATGTTCATCTATGCAGTTTCTGATTTGTTTTCTCGTAAAATTTACTCTGAATCTTCAGAGTAAAATTTTACTCTGGTTTGTGCTCTGTTTTTGTTTGACAGAATGAGAGTAAACTTTTACTTTGGTTTGTGCTCTGTTTTTGTTTCATAAAATGAGAGTAAAATTTTACTCTGGTGTTATCTGTTATATTTTCTTAACATGCAAGTAAAAAATTTTACTTTATTTCAGAGTAAAATTTTACTGTATTTCAGAGTAAAATTTACTCTGAATTGAAAGTAGCATTTTACTGTATTGTTGAATGTTTGTCTATGCAGTTTTCTGATTTGTTTTTTAGTAAATTTTACTATATTTCAGAGTAAAATTTACTCTGAATCTTAAAGTAAAATTTTACTGTAGTGTTGAATGTTTGTCTATGCATAAGAGAATACACTTTATTTTTCATTAATCAGAGTAAAATTTTACTGTTGCGAAAACAGAGTACATATTAGATAAATGAATTATAGTCGAATTTTACTTTAGATTTATGAACAAACAAACAAAAAACTCTCAATTTTTTATTGTAATATATCAATTTATCATTTTTTTGGACATATATGAGGTCATTTTATCTCAAATCTGAAACTATTGATCTCAAACATGAGTTCATAGGCATCAAATCTGAGATGGTGATGGATTTCAATGGACAATTTTAAGATTTTGATTTTGTGAGATAGATCGAAAATGGAGATCAAAAGGGTTTAAGGCTTAAAAAGAGAGAAAATAAAGGGAAACGAAAGGATACCAGTATGTAGAGATAGAAAGGGAAGAGAAATGGTTCAGCGAGGGTTTTGGATTATATGGAAGGGCGTTTCAGCCTTTTCATCATATTTTTTTATTTGAGGGACTTTTGAAATTATTATTTTATTTGGTGGGCTTCATACAAGAAAGCCCCATAGAAGGGGCTTTTCACCAAAAATCCCCAATTAAATTCACTGATTTCTGTCCAATAATCGCAAAAATTCCACGAATCTCCTCAAATTCAACGCCTTTGGAATCGAGTACCGCTCAAAAAACAATTCAAAATCTCAAACTCTGTCATTCCAGAGCTAAGATTTATGTCGAAATCAGACTAATGTTGGTCGAGAATCAACGAAAAATCAATCTGTACACTCATATACACATGTGAATATGTATGTATAGGCAGCGAGAGAGAGAAGAGATAGAGAGAGAATGTTTGCTGAGATCTAGAGAGAGAAATCGAAATGGAAGGAAGGGTTCGAGAAGGACTTAAGAGATAACAGATAGTACCTAGAGAGATAACAGACACACACACCAACAGTGAGAGAGAGAGAGAGCGAGGGAGAGAGAGATAGACAGACAAACACACCAAGATCGAGAGAGCGAGCGAGGGAGAGAGAGAGAGAGAGGGAACCTAAGATCTGTGGTTGTGCCAATGGTGCTTTGCGATGGTGGTGATGGTCGTGGCCGTGGCAATGTCTTCCGTACGGTGGGCTGCGGTGGGGTGTTTGTCTCTTCGGTTTGGTGTCCGATTCTAAGGTTTGAATGTTGTTGTGTGTAACAGAGAAAGGGGCGGGCAGCATTAAAAGAGTCCCCGCGCGCGCCCTAAAAATTTTGAAGATTTAGCGACCAAAAGAAAGTTTTGTCGGCAAAAGTGTTATTATGGGCGACTATCCTATTTGGTAGCCATAGGAAAAGAAACAACGACTATTTTATTAGTCGCCAAATGTATATTTGGCGACTAAATCTCCATTTGGTCGAAAAAAATTTGTATTTGCCCACTAAATTTTGTAGTCACTAAAGATTAACCAAAAAATATACCTATTCCTGGCCACTACCATTTATTTTGTAGGCAAAAATTAATATATAACGACTAAAAGAAAAATTAGTAGCCTAAAATTAAGACTAACGGCGACTAATAAATTTTTTAGTCGCTAAAAGGGTCACTTTTGTCGACAAAAAGGTAATTTAGTCGCCAATAAATAATATTTCCCTACTAAAAAATTTTAGTAGCTAAAAACTATACCAACGCCGACTAAGAGATATTTTTGTCGCCCAAAGTCAACTTTTTGGCGACTAAATTTTGTTTAGTCGCCAAAAGTGGACGCCAAATGTGCAAATTCTTGTAGTGGTAGTGCTTGTTGGCGTGTTACGGTAAAACTGTTACATGCGAAACGAGGCGTAAATTATTTTCGTTCAGGACTGGACATATCGATCGCATAACTACAAACATTTTGTACAGCAAATTAATTACTAAGGAAGTACAGTAAGTACATTACGTAGGATAACAGGGGCCAAACCAACAAATTTACCTATATATCGAAGGGATTGATTTTCTAATACCATCTCCCATAGGGGACTACTAATCCCATCTATGGAGGGTATCATAATCCCAACGTATTTCGAATGCACAAATATTGTGTTCTTGCTACGGCAGTGGTTACATGACAATATTACTTTTAGTCCCATCACTACCAATCCCCCTGACTAATAATTCCCTCAGTAACAATCCCACCCCTTACTAAAAAAATGTGAATACATGTTGTTGGGGTTGTCGTGCGTATTCCTTTATTTCTTCAACAGACTTATGGTATGTAAATTATTTCGTACATACGTTTAAGTAAGATGCATCTGCAAATGTAAAGCACAAACTACAGTCTTACTAAAAATATTGAAAACCCGAATAATACAAAAAGTGGGAAACTCAATTTTAAAAATAATTACACCCAAACACATATACAAGGGTGTCGGACTGGTTACACGTTATTACTAGAACATGGGCAAATAACATTGTACATTTATTTTTTATTTTTTTATTTTAAATATTTTATTTTATTTTATAGGAATATTTTTAATATTTTAAGTTTCATAAAAATATTTTAATTTTAATATTTGGATATTTTAATTGTAAATATTTTGATTTTCGAAATATTTTTAATTTTCTTATTCTTAATATTTTAATTTTCTAAATAATTTTAAAATATTTTTAATGTTTATACAGGCCTCAAAAATGAATTGACAGAAAAATTAATTGACATAAAATAATTGACATAGAAGTTCTTTGGAAAAAAAATAATTTGGGAAAAAAATTATTCAAAAAAATTACTTAAAAACAATTAATTGAAAAGAAAAATCATTTTTTTATTTGAGTATTTTAAAATTAGTTTGGTTATGACTGTTGATAAAAATTACGGATATCGAGTTATGAGTTGTGTGTTTGATTATCAATTATAGGTTGAATTAAGTTTTGAAAACTATTTTGAAAACTCATCACCAAACAAATTTTCTTATTTCACATGTCACATCAAACTTTCAAAACTCAATTCCACATGCAATTCAAAATTTAATTCAACACTCTATTCAAAAACCATAACCAAACAAATTTTCTACACTCAAATCATAATTTCACAACTTACAAACTCAAAATACAACTCGTACTCTCAAATCATATCTACAAAAGTCTACCAAACGCAACCTGAAATTTTCATTTTCTCGCTCTGCTATACAGGTTATACAGAGTATACACCTCAATTTGACTCTCACTCTCCCTCACTCTCACACTCATTCCTCCTCCACCGAACCCAGCCTGACCGGCGACCACTCCCGACGACGACCCACTCGTAAACCCAACCCACCGCTGTAGCCCTCATTTTCTCTACTTCGCGAACCATAGCTCCATCGCGACCACCATCGGCTGGAGCGAAGGAATTTGTTGAGGAGAACGTGGGTTTTCAGGCCATAGATGAACCAGGTTCGTCCTCGCAACACTGAAATCAAAAAGTTATGGTTGTGATTGACAAAATTAATTTGAAATTTGAAAATTAGGGCTTTCAAAATTAGGGCTTCGAAAATTAGGGCTTTCAAAATTACTCTTATGCAGATTGATAAATAGTATGATTGATAAATGTGGAACATATTGTGAGGAACATAAAATGAAAAGATAAAATATTTGCATAACATAGTACGATTATGCAGATTGATAAATAGTATGATTTATTGATAAATACTCTGATTATGCAGATTGATAATAGAAAAGGCTAAAAAGTTATCACAAATGCATGTAGTTCTGTAATTTTCAATGTGTGATTGATAATTGAATTTTGGTATATTTGTTATCAGTCACACGTGATTTGTTATAATGAACTGCTATCAGCTAATATGTTATCTAGGTGAATTGAATTAACTAGTATCAACATTGATAACTATTGTCAACCTGAACTGAAATGTTGATAACTATTAGTGATGTCTTGATAACTATTTCACTGTGATTTGTTGACAATCACATGTGTGATTTGTTGATAACTATTTCAGTTTGATAACTATTAGTTGAATCACACCCTCCAACAATCTACCCATAATCATTTAACTTCAGTATGATTTGTTGATAATA